CAAGCAGAACTGATAAAGAAGATTCGTATAACCGTTACTGAAAGCTGAGCTCTTTTAGCTGATTGATGAGTCTTGTTTCTTTGAATAAAGTTGGAATGCTGATAAAGGGTTCATATAGATGATCCCAACTAAAATTTGGGATCTTTTAGCTGATCAATGAATTTTTGTTACTTCTCGATAAAGAGGAATAGATATAAGATTCATATAGTTGACTCTACCTTTTAGCTTATTGATTAGTCTTTTTTCTTTTAAAGAAAGAAAAATGGGTATAGAAGATTGATATAACTGTTACTAAAAGTTGGGGGTTTCCTGTAACTGATTGATGAGTCTTGTTTCTTTGAATTAAGTTGGAATGTCGATAAATGATTCACATGCTGACCTCAACTAAAAGTTAGGGGAATAGATACAGAGGATTTGTTTAGTTGATTCTGACTAGAAGTAGGGATCTTTTAGCCGATTGATGAGTTTTATTGTTTCTGAATAGATAGAAAGGATTCATATAGTTGACTCCAACTAAAAGTTGGGATCTTTTAGCTGATTGATGAGTTTTTTTGCTTCCCAGTAGAGCAGAAGGGATACAGAAGATTCATAAAACCGTCACTAATAGTTGGGCTCTTTCAGCTGATTGATGAGTCTTGTTTCTTTGAATAAAAAAAAGTTAGAATCTATATAGAGGAAGAGGATTCATATTATTTTTTGATGAAGTAGGAAGAGGATTCATATTTCTGACCAACTAAAAGTTGGGATCTTTTATTGATTGATGGGTTCTGTTCTGTTGCTTCTGTGTAGAGCAGAATGGATACAGAAGAGCCATACAAAGAGTTGGGCTATTTTAGCTGATTCATATGAATAAAGTTGGAATGTCTATAAAAGACTCATATAGCCACCACCAACTAAAAGTTAGGATATTAGCTGATTAATGAGTCTTGCTACTTCTCAATATGTCCGAATAGGCTATAGAGGATTCATATTGTTGACTCCAACTAAAAGTTGAGATCTTTTAGCGGATTGATGAGTTCTTTTGCTTCCTCATAGAGCAAAGGGATATAGAAGATTCATATAACTGTTACTAAAAGTTGGGTTCTTTTAGCTGATTGATGAGTCTTGTTCTTTTGAATAAAGTTAAAATGTATAAAGGATTGATATAGCCAACCCCAACTAAAAGTTGGAATCTTTTAGCTGATTGATGAGTTTATTGCTTTCGAATAAAACAAAATGGATACAGGATTCGTATAACCGTTGCTGAAAATTGGGCTCTTTTAGCTGATTGATAGTTTTGTTTCTTTGAATAAAGTTGGAATGTTGATAAAGGATTCATATAACAGACCCTAACTAAAAGTTGTCATCTTTTAGCTGATTGATGAGTTTTCTTGTTTCCAAATAAAGCAAAATGTATACAGAAGATACATATAGCTACATATAGCTGTTACTGAAAGTTGAGCTCTTTTAGCTGATTGATGAGTCTTGTTTGTTTGAATAAAGATGGAATGTCAATAAAGGATTCATATTGCAGAGCCCAACTAAAAGTTGGGAACTTTTAGCTGATTCAATCCCTTTTCTCCAGCATATACAATATATATTCAATGCCCTTTCGATTGTGTTCTGACCACTTTGCTTTTTATGTCTATTTTAGTGTTGATATTGATGGCTCACTTGGTGAATCAGACTGCCTGAAGGAAAGCAGTTGTAAGAAAAGGTAAAAACTTTTGAGTTTAGGGACATTTTTTGTGTATTTCCTAAGCATAGAGATCTGATGTTGCACTAACTCGTCACTATTATCTATCAGGTTTGATTTGATTAGCTACTTGGCGCTTACCATTGTTAAAGAAAAGTGACAAATTCTCCCCTCCCCTTGTTTCATTTCCAGAGTATTACTCTATTATCTCAAAGGCTCAGGGTTGCGAAAATAACGATCTCATTATGCTTTTAATGAGGATAGTTTTAAAGATTTTGACTTGTTCTGTCCTCTTGTTCTAACGGCCTATATGGAGGACTTATACTCCCTAAACGGCCTTCTGAAGATTTCATAGAGATATAGTTCCCTTCCCTCTATTTGGAAGTAGTTACTATGCTGCAGCAATTCCACAAATTTAGTTTAGATTCAAATTCTTGTGATGTAATAATGTACACAAAGCCCCCTTATGTTATATTCTTAGTTTCATAATTATACTATTAGCCTTCGAGCTTTTTTCCCTCGTAGTATTGGTTTTGAGAGGAAAGCCAGATGCCCTCTTAATGTACCTACATAACATTGTTTACTCATGTTTCCGACAATTGTTACAGGACAAGAGCTGAATCATGCACCTCGTCAAGTTCCAAAGCTTGCAGGGAGAAATTAAGGAGAGAGAAACTGAATGACAAGTGGGCTCACAATTCATTCCTTTTAGAACCATTTCACCCTTTATTTCATTTTATATATCGCTAAATTAAAATATGGTCTCAGGTTCATGGAATTGGCAGTGCTTCTTGAGCCCGGTAGGCCTCCAAAAACAGACAAGAGTGGCATTCTTGTTGATGCTGTTCGTGTGGTGACACAGTTACGTGATGAAGCTCAAAAATTGAAAGACTCAAATTTGGATCTACAAGAAAAGATAAAGGAGTTGAAGGCAAGTATTTGTTACTTTCTTTCCATTGGCTACTAGATTGTTGACAAGTTTTGTCAATTTGGCAAAACAATCTGATGACAAGAAAAGCTAAAACATCACTTTACTATGCTTCTACTGACTTCAAGTATGTTTGATTTGTGTAGGTTGAGAAAAATGAGCTTCGAGATGAAAAGCAGAGGCTGAAGTCCCAGAAAGAGAAGCTAGAGCAACAACTAAAGACTATGAGTGCACAACCTAGCTTCTTGCCTCCTGCCATGCCCGGTGCTTTTGCTTCTCCAATTCAAGCTGCAGGAACCAAGCTGGTGCCAATCATAAGTTACCCTGGAGTTGCCATGTGGCAATTCATGCCTCCTGCTGCAATAGATACCTCGCAGGATCACGTGCTCCGCCCTCCAGTTGCTTAAGTTTGCTGCTAAACCTATGATAATTGACTTAACTCCGATATGTTGTTCTAGTTAAACATTCTTTAGCTGTGTTAGTTTATTCGTCGAGTCCTTTTGGTGTATTTGGTGGATAATAGTAGTTCTCTTGTAATCTTTGCACTTTTAATGTGTTAAATGCTGGTTTTATCAACTGTAAATTTTAGCAGGTTCAACCTGGCATTTATGTATACGTTCTTTTCTCTCCTGATTAAATTCTTTGTTATTTCTTCCTTTTGTTTGGCATGCATTCAGTGTGTGTGTTTTTTTTTCGGGGGGGGGGGGGGGGGGGGGGGGGGGGGGGGGGGGGGGGGGGGGGAAAAAAAATT